GGGCCTCGTAATATCACAGCGCGCTATAGACGTGGATGCACATTATAATAACTAAGCTGGTCGACGATGAACTGCCACCGCAGATCAAGGGGTTGGAGCAGTTCGTCTGACGCGTGTACTGTTCGAGAGGTCACACAACCCTATCAGCACTGAGATGGGAGCTCCAAGAACTTGGAAGGAGAGATGCTACTTCTTACTCGCGCTGCCATACTACCTCATATAATACGGACAAATCGCGATAAATCATACCCTACCAACTGCCCTGATCCTCCTATTGAACAAAATGGCTGGCGTGTACAGGATGGAGTTTATGTTCCCGTGAGGTGCAGTTGTTACAAGAACGGTTTTCCTTGTACACCTCCCTGTAAATGCTATGTCAATGACTGTGCAAATGTGATCAAGAACGTCGTATATGAGGAAGAAGTTGCTGATTAATCCGTCATGTTGTAGGCCTATTAGTGTTCAAGCTATTTAATTCGCTGAATTGCTTTGCATGTTTTTTCCTTATATATCATCTATTTGTGCATTTTATCTTTTGGATAATTAAATATGTGTTGTATAATTTGTATTTTTAATAAATATTTTAATAATAATAATAATAATTATTATTATTTGTAATATTATTCAATATTAGAGCAACTTGTGTTTTGTAATTTGTGTTAATAAACAAGTTGAACCAATTAAAAGAGATCCTATTTTACTAGGTTTGTCTTTTGTTTGTCTGTACCACGATAATGACCTTGACTACGAAGCCGATCCTAACCGGAAGTCTGCGATAGCCACTTAAAGTGCCCTTATCTCTTGACATAACTATCTGATTGCAAAAATGACTGCACCAGTTGTCTAATTCCCATGCTTGCATGAAAACCTATAGAAAGAGGTACTATATGACTATAGGCCTCCCGCTGCTATGATAATGACTTAAAATTACGTACTTAATACCTAAAAGATCGTAACCGGAAGTCAATAAATGCCACCTCCGGTCGTTTTGAAATTGTGATTAATGGAATCAGCATCATCCAAAACCCCTGAAATAACCCCAGGATCGTGATAATAGGTTCATTATTAGCAGAAACATGCCCGTGGCCAGTCATGGGGTCCTGTGAAAGAAAAACACCCTCTCCCGGGGGGTCGAGGGGTCGGAAAATTTGAACCCCACCATTTTTTGATAGTTTGATCCCAAATCAACCAGATAAAGCAAAAAATGTATTTTAGCATAAAAATCCTACGGGATTACACTTCATACCCCACGTATCAATTACAAGACAAAGTGGCTTTGCACCTCTTCACTTCATCCACTTCTTCATTACATGGCACGTTTCACAGCGTTGTATGTTTACATACAATATATTATGTTTACGTCACCTCAGCTGTCAATATGTTTGGAACGTATAACGATATATGTAACGCATATCAGTCTATGGCACTCGGTAACATTGTTTTGTTTTTTATTTGTTTCTCGTTAATAAAAGTAGAGAACGACGAAAGACGGAAGTTTGGCCGTAATATAAACAAAAAACAAAAAAACTTGTGTGCTTGTTATGATAACATTCTGAACGACGTTATGAACGCACAATTTACTCGTGACACGGGTCGCGTTTTACTTTACCCGATGAAGTAACTTAAATTTAAGACTATATTGATTTATTTTTCCCGTTTTTATATAATCATATTTGATATAGCATATAGCAGTTTAACAATATAATATAACAAATATTAATGTAGTTACCGGATTGTTGACGCTAGTATTCCAAATTATTGTCATAATGACTCAGATCTGCGTGTGTTTCTTGACAGTCATCTCCAGCAGACCTATACCCCATAACAACTATCCCATGATAGGGAAATATTTTAACCAAACACATGCCGAATATGCGAGTGGGCGTGATCTAGAAAAATGTGTCAATTACAATAAATATAACTTACAGTTAACTTCTCTTACCTAACCCTCTCAAACCACCCACCCACCCACCTACTCAACCATCCATCCATAAATACCACCAAGACCCTTCTTTATACGCTCTTGATTCCACCCATCCCATCCCATCCCATCCCATCCCATCCCATTCCATCCCACCCCACCATAGTATGTTAACTAGTAATATATTTCAGAGCTAATCGAGCCGATCATGGCGTGTGACTACCTCATCGGAGCCATTGCCAACGTTCTCGCTACCGGCTGCGACAATATCACCCAGCCAAGTAACAACGGCACAGGTAACTTCACTGGAATGAAAGACTTCAGCATTCAACTTGATGAAATCGCCAACCAAACTAACGCGACTGCAATCATCGGATATAGTCGCTCCGTACCAATATTTCTAACATTTTTCCGCTTGACCGTCAGCGTCCTTATAATACTCTTTAATGGACTCGTCGTAACGTCGTTGATACGCGTCAAGTTTCTCGAGGAAATAAAATACATTATGATAACAAATCTGTCCCTCGCCGACCTTGGTGTCGGGCTAGCACTGTTTCACGGCGTTATCGTTAGCTTTAT